CAACGGAAGATTTTAGCAACCTTCAATACCAAAATGTAATGCAATTACATTTTGTCTAAACATGTAACAAAACATATGGTCGCCTCAGTGATCCATCATGGCTACCTTTGTTTTAAAGACACAGTTACAGCATTGTATAAAAATCAGAATAATGATTCATCATATTATTATTAATATTAATCATATTCTAAGAGAAAGGACAGGTCGGCAGGTAAGGTCAAAAGCGGTGAAGGAGAAGTTAGCTTGCTGATCACCAGATGGACAGAGGTTTTACCTGGTTTTTACTACATGATATCAACCATATGAAAGGTTCTCGTCTGGTCAACCAATGACTAATTCTTTGATCATGGATGTCTTTTCCTGGAAAATATGTTCAACATGAGAATTTCAGAATTGGAAAAAAAAAAAAAATCTGAAGACCATCTTTAATATAGCGGTGTCAGCCTCGGTACTCAGTCATCATCCACTTGGGGTCACTGCCACTAATTTATTGAAATCATCTGGGCACTGACCGCACTCCTGTGACATTTGGGTTTCCATCAGAAGGGGGTCTGACTGTATTCATTTGTGGTTGCGGTGTCTCTGCGGGGGTATCGTGTAAGTCAGTGCATATGTAGACGTGTGCCAACTTTTCCTCTGTCTCTTTCTTGATATGTTTGGTCGCAGCTGCACACAGATCTGACTCATCTGATCTGTCGGGTTCTACTGCACATTACTGTGGAAATATCCAAAGCATCAGTACCACATGACTTAGATTTGGCCTCCTACTGGATAATCTGGAAATTGCTGCCTTACGTGTGTCATGCCACGTATGTGTGCACTTAATGAAGCCTTAGTCACTTCAGGTCATTTCAGTGAAGGATTCTGTGCAGTCAGTGACTGTTGGGTCATCCTTAAAGCTGTGGGTTTTTCTTCATGCAATCTTTTTTTCTTTTCTTTCCATGATTCACGACCGTTAAGTGGGGTATGATGCAAGACATTAGCACCATGTGGTGGTATAAAGTGATTACTGGACTAGTATGATCTACAGTAGTCACAGCAATTACTGCACTGCTATGTATTAATACTTTTTGCACATCCTGGTTGCAATACTGTTTTTCAGTCCAAAGAGGAATATTTAAAGATGTTTATGCAATTTGGAGATTAGATTTTTTTTTTCAAACAGATCACAATTACTTACAGTGCAGAGCAGAGCCCCTGAGCTACAGGGGTCATGTGACATTTTCACAGTTAGTATGATGCACAAGGAATCTTGCACAGATGCAATTATCTACAACATTAATGTATTTTAACATGGGTTTTCAATGAACATTTTACTAAACTATATTCAAATTTATTTTATTGGCAGCATTCAAGTCAGTACAGTTTATTACAGTGGACAGCAGATTGTAGACTGTCATGTGACTTGAAAAACACAGGCACCAAAATATTGTAATAAAGTAATTATAGTTTTATTACATTTGGCTTTGTGAAGAATATGAAGGATTTTTACACATACCAAAACATTTAATAGAGGACAATACAACTACAGTGTCTGTCCTATTGATGGTTTTATTGTAGCAACAGTGATATCCTGTAAACATGCATTAAATGTAAGACGAGAACAACAATGACTTTTTCAAGAAGGAAAGTGAATAAAACTGACATTTTTAAAGGTCTTGCAAATAATTTCCCATAAAAGAAGATGGAGATAAAAACTGATTTGCATCTGAAGTTCTTTCTTTTCTTCCGACAGCTTGGTAACAGCTCATTCTGCTGTCTTGCCTTGGGTGTTGCACTTTTGTTTTACCGCTTTCCAGCAGATGTTAGCAGTGTGGGTCTTTTTTTTCCAACCTCTAATTTTCTCTTTTTTTTTTTTTACCTGCTCAGCACAATACTGCAGACAAACACAGTTGGAGACCATCTGATGAACATAGTGAAACCATTATTAGCTATAAAAGCAGGTATTTTTCTCAAGGCGATGGAAGAAACCAAAAATGTTGCTGGGAGACGGTGGAATTTGGGTTTTTAGATGGATTTCAACCACAATTATGTCCACTAATGACTGATGACATCGCTTCATTTCTGCTCGGTGAGTGTGAACTGCAGTGTTTTCGAGCAAAAAATGTGCACATTTTCTCATATGCAGCAACAAGACAGAGGGTGAGTCATTTCTGAGTCACAGCCCCCTCTCAAGGTGGAACCATAAACAAAAAACCCAGTTAAGAAAAACTGTTTCACTGTTACAAACTTTCCCATGCAATGTGGTTATCGTGCACAGCACATCGCTCCCGTGATTTACAAACACGGACAAGACATCCTTGATACACATGACGGCTAACGGGGGTCTTGATAGCACACAGGGTTTTTTTCTCTGTGAGAACCAGACTTGTGTTCCACCACGCGGCCGTTCTACTTAACGCACGGCACATCTTTTCACCAGGACTTTCACATGGAAACTGTCCTCGTTGCCCTGTGTTGTATTTTGTGGCAAGAGTGATGAGTCGTAATTGCAGACCATGTCAGTCCCTTACACATAGCTCTCCAAACCACATGAGGGATGTTGCAGTTCGCCCCTCATGCCGAGGGTTTGCTCACTGGGGATTGTGGAAGCAGCTAAAAGTAAGATTAACATAGCTTGAAGCTCAGCAGCTCACATAAATCATGGCTACAGTACGTTTCAAGTGTGCTGTTTGTTTATTCAATAATTGTAATCGCAATGAAGCCGGATCTCTAATTTAAATCATTAAGAGCCACATCAAAATAGTAGATGAAGGTCAAGCAGCATCACATTGTTATGCATCACACTGCAGATAAATCACTGGGCCCAACAACAGAACTCAATCCACATGCGTTTTTTTATGTCCACCCGTTTATGAGTTTTGTAGGCAGCTGACATCTGCTCTGATCCTCCAACTCATTTAGAGGTAAGACTCACAGGATTCCTCGTTAGTGACTTAACTTTTCACCAAATGTTTGTTTGTTGCCACGTTTTTTTTTCTTTCCTTTTACGAGAAAAAGAAGGTTGTTTTGCTCCTGAGTCCAACATCAGAATCTAATTTAGACAAAGATGGGGACTCCTTTGGGGTTTTATTTACTGGAAATGAAATGTTTAATTCAATTGAGTAAATCTGTTATTGATATTAGTGTTATTTAAGCCAATGAGATATGAATAGTTTAACTCCACATGACATGGTGAACCAGGATGGATGCATTTTTTTACTTCTGTTCAATTTTACACACATACTGCAGAATCATCTGGGTAAATATGAGAATAAAATAAATGCTGAGATTTAAATGCTAAATTTTCTCCTAGCGGTTAATTTTAGATAAAGACCTATAACCGCAACGATCCGAGGGCACCAGGTGACACGAGTAAGACTAATGACAAAGACACAGGTGAGTGTGATCACACTAATCAACTCCACCTACAGGAGGAAAGGGAGACAGAAAGACATTTAGATCATTTAGACATTTAGATGCCCATGTGTAATAATTAAAAAAAAACATGTTGCACGCTTCATTCACAAAAACCACAAGTGTGTGTGACCGGTTGTGACATAATGAAACAAACAGGTGTGTCTGTGTCTATGATCTTTAAATCGGTGCCAAATGTTACTCTGCCTGTTATGTGGGAACTGAGACAGAAGAAATAGGAAGAGCAGAGTGTTCTCCAGTGAGCGTTGGTGTCCAGATGCTGCCATTAGACATGAAGAGGAGAATAAACACATCCTCATGTCCTCAGCAAAGAATGTTAATACTCTCACCTGCCGCTCCACTTTTCTTTGATGGTGCCAGCATGAATCGACTTCGCTTGTTGGCACGAGTATTAACAGGATGAGGCCCAAAGTTGTGTGTGTGTGAGAAAACAGTTTTTTATAACCCACTGTGGACATTTTTACTCAGTAATACTCTCTTGATCAGGGTTAAAAACTTTCATTGGAATCATAACTTGGTCCTAATTGAGCAGAAATGTATTAGAGGGACATGAGAATGGAATTGAAGCTCTAGTTAAGTTCAGGTTGGGTTTTATATGTATGTGTGCACGGGTAATTTGCAAAACTTGTGAATTGTGAAACTACCTTAAAGGGCTGAGAGTGTGACTCATCTACATTTTTGCTCTAAATGTGCTTTTTACAAATCTTTGACGTAGGAATATCACGAATAATCAAATCCAAATAGACTGGCTGGGATTCAAACTCACACACATTTCAGCGGCAGCTGAGATTCTCCTGCAAGAATGTGTAAAGGATCCAGTGTGGATCTGTTGTGAAACTATAATGGCTACATTGGCTGCATGGTTTTTTTGCATCTTTTGAAAGATCGTACTAGTATAACTGTAGCATGCACTGATTTTACATGTGGGATCATTGATTATTCAGTGTATATCAGGTATTCACACCAGTCTTGTCTGTCAGCCTTGCCCTACTTCCTGTTTCTCTGGGCATTTAGTTTATCAACTTCACCTGTATCTGTTCATTAGCCTCACTCTTCTCAGCTGGAGCCTTGGATATATATATGTCCCACCCTCATTGCTGTCTTTTTGTGTTCTGCTTGTACTGATGTATGTGTTTTGCTCAGTCTTTTTTTTTTATAGTATTTTTGTAGTTTTATTTGTATTTAGACAGAGAACTGTACCTTATTCCTGCTCTCCAGTGTGCTGCATTTGGTGTCGCCCACGTGCCTCGTGCCAACACCGGCAAAGGCACATAGCATGTAGTGTGTCATCAGCAAGCTACAAATAGAAGGTGTTAATGATCTGCTAGTATGTAGATGTTAGCACTTAGCTTGCATGTTGAGAGTCAATGATGTGTTAGCACTATGCTAGTGTGTAGCTTCAGCCAGTCTTTACCAAGCTAGGCCAAGCTTACTTTGTGTACAACCTCAGCATCACACTATCAATAGATCTGAACCTTATAGGTTGTATTACTGCCTCCTTCTGGGTCTATAATGCATGGCTCAAAAAGAAAAAAAGAGAAAAGTGGAGTGTAGGTGTACTGACAGGACCAATTCAATTTCTGTGAGCTTCTCAAATGATTGACAGCGAAATGAAGTTTATTTCAAAAGCTTTAATTTTCCCATGGGGAAATTAAATTCATTAAAACACATGAAGTAGTAGATTAGGCACAAAAGTACCAAATTAATGCGTACCTGCTGGTACAGATGTATAAAAAATTAAATAATTAAATAAATACAATTTAAAATATTTGCAGTATTATGTACAGTGTTTGAAGGCCAGTTGGAGTGCCGTAGTGCACATATACGTATGTGCGGTTTTTGTGGTATGGGACAGTGTTTGGATTAGAAACAGCGATGCCTCAGAGTCAGAGGTCGCAGTTCTTCCAGGTGTCCTGCAGTCTGGCAGTAAAGACATTATCCAGAGAGGGAAAATAAGTGTTTTGGAGAAATCCTGTAGTATTTGGCTCCTCGATCTTCATGTCTGCTGCTCCTGGGTGGAGAAAAGATTTATTATGGATACAGTGCATGATGTTCAACAAAGATTTAGTGACAGTTTTAATATTTAGGTAATTAACAAATGTCTTTCTAGCACCAGGAAATATATTAAAAATGTTGATTTAAATATTTTTTAAGATACACAAACATTTTTTTATGAATTAATCATATTGTATAAATGATACCTTAGATTAAAAAAAAAAACAACAAAAAAAACTCTAAAAATCAGATGCCTTATTTCCAAGCAGTGTTGCCCACACATTATTTATTGATATTTACAGACACTTTGAAAGAAAATTCCAGAGTGGGAGTGCACATTTACCTGCCAACTCTAAATCTTGTGCTTGGTGCTTTGGACTCAGTTGAGAAACACTGGTCTGACAAGGAGTAACTTAAGACTCCTAATGAGAGCATTCATCATGGATTCCTCTGGAAAGTGCAACTGTCTAGTCCTGTGAAAAGGACCCAAGAAAATTACTCCCTTTAACTTTAAATTTGACAGTTGTAAAATATGCATGCAGATAATTTACTTAATCTCTGCCTACCTGTCGTTGGTAAAATAAAATATAAGCATATTTTTCTCTGAGTTTGAAAACAAACGGACCACAGGTTTCACTAACAACGTCGTCGTTATAGGTGAACCAGCGGTCCGTCGGGTCGACCTGTCTCACATCTGGATCCACCCCATCACAGATGTAGTGTCCTGAGAGGATAGAAGGCTCATACACCATATTCCAACGACATTGACTTAGAAGTTTGAGTTGAAAACAACCCATACAAAACATTGTTCTCTTTTTCATCAGTTGTTTCTGGTTGTACTACTGTTTTATGACACCTTTGTGTTTACTGCAGACATTCCGTCACCTTAAAAGCTACTTAGCTCTACTTTGCTCTCCGTCCTAAATAAAACAAACACAACACCCTTTACTATACTGTAATCTGGAAAATTAGGATGTAACGAGCACGGTCAAAGTTAGTTTAGATACCGTCTGCTCATTTAGAGCAGCTGTAATTTACATAATATGACAGGCTTACCACTTCGTGCTGAATCGCCCATATGACTAATGCAGCTGACCAAACGGTAGCGGCCGACACCCTGAGAAGACAATGAATTGTGAAAATGTTTCAAAAGTGATTTGTGTAAAATAATGAACACTTTATTTATTTTTATTGATACCTGTCTGGAGGTCACCTGAAGTTCCCTCAGAAGAACAATGTCATCATGGACCTTTGTTACCTGGAACGCTGATGTAAACCTGAAGCGCTTTAGTTGTAAAATTAGAACTCTGGAAGTGTAAAAAAAGTAGAGTGGAGTAATCACATTTTTTTCCCATGTTGAAATTCTGAGACATTCAGTGAAACATGTCAAAAGCTGAGTTCAGTTCTGTAAACCACTGCAGTGTGCTGAGTGCTGATTCATGTTGACTCACTTTGGCAGGGTGGCAAACGTCGAGTTCTGGACAGATGTTGTCGCACCACAGTCACATTTGTACTCCACCTCTGTCTCCTGCAGAACAGTGTGATGAAAAAATGATCCCTCAGGATTTAAACACCAACGGGAATACAACTAATTTACAGTCGCATGTCTGTCTTTTTTTTGGTGACTTCACCACAGAGTACACAAAGAAAATGGTTTCTTACACTTCTGTAATTATCAAGCAGTTGTTTGACTGTTCCTCGAGGGAGCAGATCCAGAGACAGACTGGTGAAGGACTCTGTTCTCTCGGATTTCGCACCACACCTAATGTTGAAAATGAGCGACAGCAAGGAACAACATTTTTAATTAAGTTGCAGAAGACAGTTAATTACGAGTATTGAGCTTTTCAAATATAATGACATTTCAGGCCTAAACACTGCACTCAAATATTAAGTGATACAAGTGTTTTCTAAGGCCAATAAATAATAGAAATGTATAAATATGGTATAAAATATAATGATTCGGGGAGTCAATGTGTTACGTTTTGCACGTCCTGTTGTTCTTCATTTTGAACACCATATGATCATCTACAGGACAGCTGTAGACCTTGCCCAGTCGCCCAGCCTTCCTATGCAGCAGTTTGCCCAATCTCCTCATCTGATCCAGCACAGCCATGAGGAACTCATGAGCATCCTGTAGATACACACAGAAATTATTATACAGACATGGCGAAACACTGAAGTGAAAACTGTTTGGAAATAGTGATTTAGCGTTAAACTCACTTTTTGTCGGAGGTCTGTAAATTCCGGATTTCGCAAAGCTACCTCACACTTAAACGCTGAGAGCAGGCAGGATTTTTGGTAAGCATCAGGGGAAAAGTGAAATTTACTGATGTTCAAAAATGACCTGGAGAGGGATATAAAAGAGACAAGAGCCACATTCTACTGTTATTATACAAATTTAATGATGTACAAATTATGTATGATGTATGCATTAATGCAGCAGGTGTGTTATTGCAGCTGTACTTTAGAAGTCCGGCCTCAGGGATGTTTCCCCAGACTGGCTCCTGACGAGCGATGTCTCTGACAAAGTTCAACAATGTGAGGAGGCTCTGCAGGCAGGAGTTCATGTAACAGTACATGGCTGGATTTGGGAATCTAACACACAGAACAAAATACCTCTATCAAATGACACATTCTCTACAATACATTTATATTTTTAAAATGTTAACCCTGTGCTTTTAAAAGAAGTCAGAGAACTGTGGAACCGATGGTGGATCCAGGCTTAGTGTTCATCAAATATTGTTCTCTCAATTTAATTGTTGTTCAAATTATTTTTATTTTGTTTTAGGGAACATAAATAAAACTAAAACTTTTCTAAAGAATTTTCTAAAAGTCATCCAAAACTCTTCCAGATGGTTGGCCTGGCCTGTTTAGTTGAACACAACCCTCTTAACATACATAAAGGCAGAAATTCAAGAAAGACACAAATCGACACTCTTTAACTGATTTTTTTTTTTGTTTGCTTTTTCTTTTCAGTGAAATGGCAAACTTATCTACAGTATACCTGCTGATCTATCATGACCCTGATATACTCACCCTGGATTTTTGAACTGCTGTTGCCTGATGGGTTTGGTTGTGGGCACCGAGGCAGACGCTTTGGACTCTACCATGTTGTGCTGCCGAGAAACGGAAGGAGAATTCTTCTCAGGCCACTGCTGCTGTTTAGAAGCTGAAGCAACCTGAATGTTGGTGCCACTGGTGACAAAGAAATGCAGGTGCCTCACTGTGAACTCTTTGGCTAGGTGTCTAGCCATCTATTGCACATGTTCTCCGGTTTGGAGAACATTTACGCAAAATGATCACTTGCTGCCTTATACATATCCTGGTGCCAGGTGCTATTGCGATGAGATAAATCAAGTTATTGCCCTTCTGTGTCAGAGGTTTTGATGGTATGGCTGATCACTTACAGTACATGTTGCATATCACAAAGAGCATGTAGCTATACTTACCCAGAAGTCTTGTAGTGCTGTTGCCTGGGGGGTTTGGCTGGAGCCATTGGGGCTGTTTCTCTGACTTTTCCAGCAGATTGTTGGTTAGGGATAAAGATGCACTTTTTCTCTGGGTACTGGTTGTCTTTGGGGGCTGATGCCATTTGACATCCAATGGCAGACCCACTGCTGTTGAAGAAAAACATGGTTGTATTTTACCTGCCATGGCTGAAGGTCTTGGAACATGCCCAAAATCCTAGCGAATGCTGCTAATGCTACATACACAGGCGACAGCTTGGAAAAGCTATTCTGGAGCGCTTGTTTATGTGTATGTGTGTTTAATGCACCGAGATCGCTGACTGAGATCGCCATGATATGTGAGAAACATTTTCAGACAGTGCATTTGCTCACCCGAGATTCCTGAACTGTTGTCTTGGGTGTTTGACAGGTGCCATTGAAGCTTTGTCTTTAACCAGGGCAGTACTTTGGCGAGGAGCGGTGGAACACTTCTTCTCTTGGCTCTGTTGTTCTTGAGGGCCGTCTGCATTTGGTATGTTGTAGCCGCTGGCAAATTTAGAGAGAAAACATTTGACTAATCACTTGTTCATTAGAGATCCATTCAGACCCCACTACAAACGAGTGAAGAGAAATAACTGCAAACAGAAAATTAAACAATGGAGCACTTTTGAAATTACAATTTAATTACAGACTCTGCCTGAAATGTTTAATTCTAATTCTATTAGTTGTGGCCAAGTATGTCCTATTGCTAGCTGTGCTAAACAGTGCTGCTATTAAAACCAGGAGAGTTTTACTTAATGTATCTGATTAGTAAAAAAAAAAAAACAATAGGTATGAGAAACATCACAATAGTATATGAAAGTATTGCTCTACTAATCTAAGTTGAACTTATATGGTTACAGTACTACTGTGTAGTAGTGTGTACTTCCTCACCCAGAAATCCTAAAGCGCTGTTGCCTGGGGTTTTGCATTGTGGACACAGGGGCTGTGCCTTTAGCTTCCCTTGGGTGATATATTGAGTTGGTGGGATGTCTCTTCTCTGTGCAATGCTGATCTTCAGGCGCTGGTGCAACCTTACTTCTATTCTGTTAGAAAGGTACAGTGGATAAAAACCAGTGACTCACAAAGGAAAAACTAGTCCACATTCCACCTGACATTTCTTTTACACCATTCAAACCTTAAAACGTTGCCACCACCGAGGCTTCTTTGACACTTTCTTTTCGTTGCCTTTTTTCGTCGCTTGATTAATAATGCTGCCGAGGAACAAACAATATATATAAAAAATATCCAAATATTTACGTTGACAGGCATTCTTTACCTTGGTTTCCCTTGTCCAATTTTTATTTACCTTTGTTTTTGTGTTACAAGATGATTTTCTGTTCCCTATATGAGAAAAACAATAAGATTAAACACAAGTGATCATTTACTGAGACTTACTGCAAATACAAAAAAAAAGTTGTTTAATGGGAAGAGTCACACATACCAGGACCTGGGTGGCGAGTTGATTAACCCACGGTGACTTTTCGATTTTCCAATTGGAGAGAGCAGCAGCTTTTGTTGTTTGTTTGATGTCAGTTGTGCGGTGATGGGAGATGGAGGGACGTCTCTTCTCGAAGTTATGTTGTTCTTCAGGGGAGGGTGAGACCTGACTTCGATTCTGTTTTTTTTTTTTTTTTTTTTTTGAGAAAATTTAGTGAGGATGAAATATGCCTGTATGAATCCATAATTTCATATTGAATACTTCAACAAAGTCTCACTCAAACCTTAAAGCACTGCCACCACCGTAGCTTTTTAGGTTCCTCCGTTTGGTTGGTTTTACTCTTGGTGGAAGGCAGGATGCTGGCAAGAAGGAAAAACAAGTTACCTGACTGAAAATCTACAGTATTTATTGTTTGGGTTTAAATATCTTAAAAATCAGTTTTCAAACACCAAATATTTTCAAATGTATAAGGCTTTCTATCTTTTCCTAAAACAGTATAACAAATAATTTGGCTTCACAGTGGTACTGAGCTAATACGTATAATGGTAGCTAACTCGTTTTTATAAATTTAAATATATATTTAAATACACAAAGTGGTATGAAGACAACTTACCTTTGCTTTTCATGATATTTTTCAGTTTTCTGTTGGGTAAGAACCAAAAGAGACAGTTATTAAAATGACCTACAGTATATGGCATGGCGATAACTGAACACTGTCACACTTCTCACCCTTGAGCCTTGCAACAGGTGAATCTTCTGAGGCTCGTGCTTTTGATTTCTTTTCTTTGTTGAGGTGAAAGCACTGATGAGGATAAAGAAAGCAGTCATCTCACTATGAACCTGTCATTATATTGTAGATTTTAAAGAACAATTGCTTAAACAAAAATTGTATTTTATTTAAAATTACTTGTTTTTAAAAACAAGAACAGTTAAAAGAAAATAATTATAATAATTATCAGCATTTCCGTCAGACAGCCAGACATCAGGAAGCCTATCAAAAATGAAATACTTGTAGACCGAACGTCTGTCTTCATTTTTTATTCATTTGGGCCAACTTTATTTGTAGTGTCTTTAGTGTAAGTTAATAGATATTAGTAAAAATGTCCACTTATAAAAAAAAAGGTTTATGTCATTGCATTTGTAGAAAAAAATATTCCTGAAAAAACTATTCTAAAAATACAAAACTGAGTAATTGGACCATATTAGCTTGCCAAATATCAGGTTATTGGTACCCACTTATTACAAATCAGGTAGTGATTTATACAACTGGTAAAGCTATTATTATTTTATAAAAACATAAATTAAAATAAACACATAAAGACAATATTCCAAGTCGTTTTTAAAAATGTTTCAACTGTCATCACCTCTTCTGAGAGCTAGGAATCTGTCTGACCTTCTTTGCCAAATCATCTGCAACAGCTGTTGATTTCTGCTCAGTGCAAAGAAACAAAAGAAGCTAATATGTCAGGGGGACAGTGAGGAACAATGAAATGCTGTATAAATGTGATGATAACCCAAACATCAACTGTTTTTTCTCAGTGTTGTTGACACTGCTGAAGGAAACAAACCATCTTTGTTTATAGATTGAACGATTTGTGTCTCTTCCGCCTCCTCTTCTGTTTTCTTTGTCCTTTTCTCTGTTTTGTGACAGTTTGCATGACTGCCTGCTGTCATTATTTATATTTTGTATTTTTTATTTATAATAAATTTTATTTCTGCCACTGGCAGCTACGTTCTCCAATTTCCTTGGTTTGCCTTTCCTTGCAACTTTCGATCCTTGCATCTTCAGATCAAAGGATAATGACGATGTCATCATATATCATGTTGTCATCCCTAGTTATGTTGTAATTGTTTGAGTTCACCCATCGGGATAGAGAGCAATATGTTTGAATAATTAACAGATAATAAAACATCTATATATTCTCCAAAAAACAAAAAGTCCAGACTGACATTTGAGGCTAAGGTGTTAAAGAGTTAAACCATAGGTGCCCAATTAGTAGATTGTGATCTACCAGTAAATCGCAAAGGGAGTACTGTTGGATCATGTTTGTTCACTTATTTAATTTCCTCAAACCTCATGGTGTTTTTTTTTTCAACAAAACAGGATTTTATGTACTTGATAAAAAGCTAAAACGAAGAGTCTGATTGTTGTGATATGGTCGACTGGGGACAATGTATATTCATGTGAAGACAACAGGACTAATTGGAAGACTGTACAGAGTGGTTTAATCTTGGGGGGTGCTGTGAAGCATAATTGCTAATTACAGCCGAGTTCAGGCATCAGATGAGATGTTGTCTTTGATCCTTTGTAGTGAATGAATAGCTGGCACAGTGGGAGGCAGCCATACGTATAACCAGGCCAAGTGTGCCGGAAAAAACAAGTAATAAGGGCTCGGATGTGGGCTTTTGGTTGGTACCAGGAAATGTGGGGTGAAGGGCGACTGGGTGCCAGTTTGGGAGTCTATAGGGCAAAACTCAACACAGGCAAGATATGATGTCACAGAGGTGGATGCAGCGCAGTAGGGTCATCCGAGTGAAATGATGCAGATTTTCATGATGTTGAGACATTCACTGTGACCTGGCAACACAACAAGTTGCAATAACAAATCAGAAGATTAACAAGAACAACAGATGAAAACAATCAATGCAAATGAATTGGTTACTATTCAAACTATTCGCAGCAATTACTTGTTATAGGTTTTGCTTCATTACGATACCAAAACTGAGGCACAGCCATAATTACAATAGCTCTTACATTTAAGGCTTTATCGTAAACAACAAACACATCTAATTTAAAGAGCATGATTACAGAGAAGCTGTTTTATATCCCGAGTTTATATTAGTAAATATATTTTAATGTTTTTTGATAGTAGTAGCTACCAAGTCAAAAAAGTGTACCCCTCACCCCTGGCCTGGAGCACACGTACACACACACACACACGAGTGTACTGGAGACAGCTGTGTGGATGATAACAGACAGAAGCAAACTGGTCGAATTAGCCATCGACTACAGCTAAAACAAAGCTAAACGGTACTATTTTTTTTCCTTTCTGCTGATGTCAACCTTTGAGAAAGGAGGGAAAGGGAAAAAAAACCTT